TGTCCTGATTCCCCTATATACTGTAGGTCTTGAGTTATCACTAGACGGATCACCAGCAGCAGGGAGGGGGTCCTGATTTGCCTATATACAGTGCATTCAGTAAGTATTCAGAGGCACGGGTCTGGGTAAGACTACAAAAAAAAATTTGCCTGGCCAAACTGAGCAATCCGGGGAGAAGGACCTTAGTAAGAGAGGTGACCAAGAACCCGATGGTCACTCTAACAGAACTCCAGAGATCCTGTAGAGTAGTTGATGTTTGGAAAGACTTCCAGCAGAGGTAGTGCATCAGTCCACTGTGAATGAATTTAAACATGCTTAGGACAAACCTTAATCTTTACTCAGACAAAACGGTTAGAAAGAGAGAAAAAAAGATTAAAAGAAGGATCATACTTGATGGACCACTTTGATCTTTTTCTGTCATAGCTCTTCTATCCTTCACTGTAATGTGTATGTCTAAACCTTAGCGATCTAAGATTTTATCTCCTAGGCATTGTGTTAAAACAAAAAGGAAAGTTGCCCAGTAACTACATACAAGCACGGCTCGCAGCTGCTGTGCAACTGAATTCCCCTTCCCATCTGATTGTTATCAGTGGGAAGTAATTTGCTCTCGGTAAGTAGACTGTTTATTGGGAAATTAGATCTAAAGCCACCTACCATGGCAGATTATTGGTCTGTATGTGGAAACCTTTAGTTATAATATACACACTTTGTAAATTGCACAAGTATCAAGCAGTGTGGTTCTGCTAGTAATATGCATGTTTAAAAATGTATTTTAGCCACAAAATCCCAAGCAGTTCTCATGCAGCGATTTTACACTTCAATATATTGGTTCATGCAGCATTACCTCTGTGTCTTTATAGTAGAATTATAATGGTTTATGAAGCATGTTTCAGGGTGGGCTGTTTTGCACACATAAACCTCCCAGTTAACCTTCGGATGCTTGATGGAAAGTGCATTAAACAGCCCGATCTGTAGTGTCCACTGGAGTCGCTGAAGATCCCCCCCACATCTTCCCTCCCCTGATGTGACCCTCCGCACCTCGGATATATCATCCCAGCCTGACACCTTTTATCAAACTTTAATGAAATGACCCAGGCAAACAAATTGTCATTAAACTTTCCATCACTCTGTCCCTTGGTATCACCTTTTATAAATTGGACGGCAAATGTTGTATTGATCTTGCTGTTCTTGCAGCTGAACTTGAAATGACCTGGGCCTCTGTTGTTTATGGCCCCAAGTTGCTTTTCCTTGACACTTTACATCCAAAGCTTGACACACTCTTCCTCTGTCACTCATTTTCCACGCCTGTCTCCTGATATTCTGTCTATCCCTGCTATTCTCTAT